ATTTCTACAATTAAGTATATAAATATATTACTTTCTTATCAGATAAAAAGCTTTGATTAAACTTGATCTTACGCTCTGCAGATAAGACACGTTTCAATTTTAACTTTAATGCTGTACTCCTTAAATTAAATTACACTTCACTCAGAATGCATACTTTTGGATTATTTATTGTGCAAAACATTGTATGTATTCTGCTTGAAAAAACTCTTTCCTAACTTATACCAAGGCCATCCATCGATTATTATCTTAGGATACATCACAAGCAGGAAGGATCTGACTATCTTAATGGATGCGTTAGATTGTGGACCGAGTTGGTTGCCTTTTCACAACATGACATATAATGGATGTACTCCGAATTTAATAATTGATTGAATTGATAAGCTTTTCATCCATTACAGTAAAAAAAAACTACATTGCCTACATAATAATTATAAGCCATCGAAAGTAATCCAATGGAAATTAAATTCTCCTTCTGGATTTCCCTATCCTTCATTAGAACAGAACGAAGTATGCTTCTATTGCAATTTTGTGTACAGATGCATAAGTGTACTTAATATTCTTTGATTTTTTGTTAAAATAAATATACTAAATATGTACAAATGAGAAATTATGCAAACATTTAGAGCGCTTTTAATTTTAATAAAAATGTAATGTTTAATATTATTAGTTAGAAAAAATGTAATGTTTCTTAACAGCCAATTGAATAAAAATAATACTTTTATAAAATCTCAATTTTATTGTTTCATTATGACACTAGACTGAAGGGAAAACATTACAAGATGCCGTAAGTGACTAAGAAATACTCACTTATAGCTAGATTAAAACGAATGATTTGACCTGCAATATTTGTTTATCTATTTAAATATGTTGGCAAACCAAGTTTTCTTATTAGAAATTAAAAAAAAAAAGAAATATATAATATTGCCTACGATTAACAGACAGTTAATGGTATAGTGCAATAGGAATTTAATAATTGAAAGAAAAACAAGTAAGACTGTTCTAGTCAAGACCAGATATGTGAGGACTCTAAAAAAAATAACCGGACTTACCACCACAATCGAGTGTATTCATTCACCTGATATGCCAATACAATAAACCATTATGGAATATTTGTATATTCCATATTCATTACTTTTACATCTTCTTAGGTTATCCTTTTACCCCGATTTCCTAGTGCAAAGTAGGAATACAGTATTTTTGTTTTTCGACAAAAATCAATACTTTAATAATAATATAATTTAATAATAATACAGTCGAGTCTCAAAATTTGTTAAAAATATTTGGAACCCCGTTAAATCGAAAATCCCCTTAAAAAAACATTAGTTTCATTGTAAAAATTCCATACATTTTGGTCCCCTCGTAACCTATAATTCGTATTGCAATTTGAAACCTTTTGTCGCTAAATTACCGTTTCATTTCGCTTAGTTTGTCAAGTCTTAGAAATGGCAAATAGAATTGCGTATATCCGTAAGACCTCACAATCGCTTAAGATCAAGACATTTTTTCAAAAAAGGGAAAGGTAAAAAAAAAAAAAAAAAAA